CTGTTTTATTAAAATATTCCTGGCAGCTAATAATTCTTCTGAAGTTAATGTACTATCGGATTCGTTTTTAACTTGACCTTTGGTTTGAAGACGTTTAATAAATCTATAGGTGTATGCAGTTGCACGTAAAACTCTTTTAAACTGGCTAAATCTATCTAGATTTATTAAAGGTGCAGTTATATTATTAATATTTGCGTCATGATTTGTCAATAAATCCGTAATACCATTTGTTTTTAAGCTGGTATCCGAAGGCCAATTGATTTCTGACTTATATAAGAAATCAGGTCCTTTTAACCAACGGCCGGAATTTTTTAAATTAGATTGATTTTTCCACTTGGTGGCTTCATCAGCTACATTATTTTTTGTTGGGACATATCTCCAGTTCGAAATCATCGAGTTTTCTTGAATTTCGGCCACCCTGTATGCTACGTATTTCGACAGTTTTCTTGGATCTTCGTTTCTTAACCAACTTAAAACTATTATAGAATCGGAGCAATGAAAAATGTCTTGCACGTTTATTGACAAGTGTTGGCAAAGATTTTTAGCAAACCTTGCACCCATTACTGCACCATCAAGTTCCAATCTAGGAATGGTTTGTGGTTTCAAGGGTGCTACGTGAGTTTTGGCTCCAATCAGTACGCATTCTATTGTTTCCTTCTCCTCCATTCTTAAATAAGCTACGCAGGCACTAGCATATTCACTGGCATCTACAAAAACATGCATTTGAGTAATTGTAGCATTCCAAGTTTCTAGATTAGTGAGGTAGCATCTTGGAATTGAAACTTGTTCTATTTGTGGAAGTTGTTTTAACCAGACAAGCGATTTTTTGTACAGCTCATCGGTGATTGGTTGATCCTAAGAAATATTGCTCCTCCATATTTCTTGGAGAAGTATTTTTACGTAAATTAAAAAATTTGCAAGTAAACCTAGAAGGTCATAAACCGACATTAAATTTTGTAAAATCTCTCTTTTAGTAGGCTTTCTTGTCCCTTTTAAAACTTCTTTGTTACCTTTATTTAGACTTAAATTGAAAATAAAATTATCTGACTTTAAGTCCCACCACATACCTAGCACCTTTTCCATGGTTTTGGTTCCTAAGTCGAGGTTGACTTCCAATTTAACTTCCTGTTCGGAGTTCATTGTTTTTGTCAATTCTTGCGAGTTTGATCGCCAATTTCTTATCTCAAAATGTCCTCTAGCATGTATCAAAGTTACTTCTTTTGCAATTTGTATAGCTTGTTCTTCGGTATCAGCTGAATCCAAGAGATCGTCGACATAGTGATTTTTAAGTATACACTCAACAGCTCTTGGATATTTTGCCCTAAATTTCTGTGCGTTAGTGTTTTTCACAAACTGCGCACAGCTGGGTGAGCAAGTAGCCCCAAAGGTCATTACAGTCATGACATAAGTTTCTAAAGGGTTTTCAGAACTACCACTACGCCAAAAAAATTGTTGTGCGTGTTGATCTTTGTCTATTATTCCAACACGAAGAAACATTTCTTTGATATCTGCCGAAAACCCAATCTTCCTTTCGCGGAATCGAAGGAGAACGCCTAATAAGGAAGCAAGTTGATCATCTCCTTTTAATAACATAGTATTTAATGATACTCCTTGAACAGTCGCTGCTGCATCCCACACTATTCTAAACTTGCCGGGTTTATTGGGATTGAAGACAGGAAATATAGGAAGATACCAAGTTTTTTCTTTATTTTGTGAAAGTTCTTGTTCTGACAACTTTCTTATATATCTTTTTTTCAAGAAGTCTTCAAGTTGTTTATTCATTTTTTCACCTAGATCTGGATTTTTATTAATTTTTCTCTCTATACATTCAAGCCTTTGCAATGCCATAGGTTTGCTATTAGGGAGATTCACGATGTCATTTCCAAAGTAACCCAATTTTATATTGGCTACCAAATTGAACTAGTGTGCTTTCTTGTATTTGGTTAGCTCTTTCGAGCTCTTTGGAAATAAACGGTTTAATATTTTGAACTCCTAGGCTTTCAATTGAAAAATAATCCTTTACAGCATCAAACAGTTCTTTATTAGTAAGATTTTCAGTACTACATTCACAAATTTGATATGTGTATTGTAGTTGATTTTGGTTTGGTGAAAAAAGTGCAAAAACAGTCCAACCTAACCTGCATTTTGCAGCTATTGGTTGGTTTTCTAAGCCTTCCTTTACCCTAAGAGGTAAAGCTAAGTCCCAGTTATCTAAACCTATTAATAACTGCGGCTTAGCGTTTGCGTATGATTTGAAAGGTAAATTATTTAAGTAGGGAAATTCTTCTTTAATTTTTATTGCATCTAAAGTTTGTTCTGGAAGATTTAAGGTTCTTACCGTTCTGGCTGGTCGGTGGTCAAATTGTTTTGCCCCAGTATAATCACCAGTTATAGAGTAGAACACCTTTTCTGATTTATCTTCCAAACGCTGTTGATCTCCTGTCCATTTTAAACAAAGCTGCTCTGGATTTCCCCTTAAGTTTAACCTTTGCGCAATACTTTGTTCCAATAAAGTTACAGAAGACCCTTCATCTAAGAATGCGAATGTTTTCACCTCTATATTTCCATTTCTTAAAACAACAGGAATGATTCTGAAATGTGTTCCATGGTTTAATACGTGTGTTGTATTATTTTCTAAAGATGTAGGTATGTGGTGAGATTCTACAGTTTGCATAGAACTATCCCTTTGTTCTGAATTAATGCTTTGAGCAGGATATTCATGAAGAAGGGGATGGTGCTTTCTTTGACATTCCTCTTTGTTGCATTTTATAGGATACCTACAGGGAAACCGATGTTTTTTTAAGCAAAGTCTACATAAATTTAAAGATTTAACAGTTTCCCATCTTTTGGATACTGCGTATCTTTGAAAAACTGGACAAACCGTAATTTTATCACATTTCCCTGAACATATCCTACAAACTGTATCATTGGAAGTTGAATTTGGCTCATGTACATTAGTCCGCTCGTAACTTTGATTTGTGACGGAAGTTTATCTATCAGTTCATGCATGAGGGTAGGGTTATTTAGATAGTCTTTTAAATTAGCCGCTTCCAATGAAATACACAAATTTTTAACTGCCAAAGCAAACTCCACCAATGTCTCAAGTTTTTCAAATTTAGGAGGCGGTTGCCGACGAATGGCATTTATATGACATTCTATTATTTGCTCAGGTCTACCATATAGTATTTTTAATGTAGAAATTATTTGAGGTACACACTGTGGTAAAATTAAAAAACTTGAGACACTGGCCCTTGCGGCACCTTTTAAACATTTTTGCAACCTTAATAAATTTTCATGATTATCCATTTGGCACAACTCTGTGGATCTTTCAAAACTACTAATGAAAATAGGCCAATCATATGGATTGCCATTAAAAATAGGAAGATCGCCCGGATCCCTCTTTTAATGCAACATACCTGTATTTTCCCCAGTAAAGCTCGGTATTGGCTTATTAAATGTTGGATTTAAAGGGACGATATTGTCATTAAATGGTTTATCTATATTTAAAGAAAGCAATTTATTGGCCAAAGGATCAGTCTTACGTATTTCTTCTTCATCGATTTCCTGGCTATCGTCGGAACCTCCATCTTCTTCTAAAATTTTTCTAGACTCCCTGGCTAATTCTCTTTCTTGGCGTATTAGATCTCGTTCTTCACGTAAAAGTTGAAACATCATTTTTGTTTTACTACTCGTTGTAGAGATACTTTTCTTGGAGCATGTAGAACTAGGTTTCTCGCTTTTGCGCGGTCTTCGATGAGATGTTTTACTAGCTGCATCTTCACAAAGAGGACACTTCCATGTATCATCACCGGTTACATCAGCATCATCTAGGATATTGACACACTCAAAACAGCACCATCTCTTACATTTTGTGCATTCTACCATCCGTTCTTCTCGATATGGCTTGCTACACACAGGGCACAGGTCTTTTTTGGTTCGTCCAGCAACTGATGGACCCATACTTGTAAACTTTGCAAATTATGTGTTGTACCAATCGGATAAGAAGATAGAATTTGAGCTTGTTGGGAATATCTTGCAGCAATAGACGGATTTGTAGTAATGATTTATTAATTTGTAAATACACAAGTTAATCAATGTACTCAAATTCCTAAAATAACATGAATAAAAATATAGAACCAACAAATTCTCTATTACTTACTGTTTCACTGTGCTGATTATTACTTTCTTATATTATTCTGACAATTATTTTATTATTTTTGATTAAGACCTAGTTTTTAGAAAAGTAAGTAACATAAACAATTTTTTTCCATAAAATCTTAGAAACAAAACAAGATAAAAAAATACAGGATGTTAAAATAAGAATTTTAAAATATGTTAAACATTATTCGTAACAACCTCATTTTAACTCTTTGGCCACTTGCAACACTAACGCGAGTGAACTAGGTACCTTAAAGTAATTTTTAATTTTTTCCTATGAAGCACAAAACTAGGTCCTAAAAATTTTTATTTTCTGATATTTTAATAACTCTGCCAAAAGAATACCTGAAAACGATTCAAAATTTTGTTCTAAGATAAACCCTTAGAATTGTTTTTTTAAACATCCCAAACAGATTTTTTTTAAAGTATTGGAAAATGAGGCTGTAATCAGCCGACTCTCTACATTTGTGTGAGTTAGATTTCCCTTAATGACCTCAAAATCTTTTTGCAAACAGAGCAGATAAAAAGTTTGAAACCCGGTCTTCTAGTCTAATAAATCTTGCCGTCACTCATGTGTATTTTGTAAACTAACAAACTAGCTTTTTGCGAAAATAGTTAATAAACAATTGATGAAGGGTGAATTTCCCAGTCATTATGAGATATCGGCTACAGTAAAATGCAAATAAAAGATTATTTTTAAATAAATATTAATAAATAATTGTCCAGAAATTAATTCTGCCAAACCATCCTGACCTCGAAATTGTTCATATAATTTTTTATCTTGGATTACTATATCTACCAATATATAAACAGGAAAACTGCTACATCTTTATTAGTTCAAAATGGAAATTGATAAGATACAGGTTGTATTAGAAGTGTTTCTAAAAGATCTTAATAAAACAAGTTGTAAAACTCGAAAGAATTTTAAAAATTTAAGTGATTTGAAAAAGAAAGTAAATGGAAACAAAATAGACGTTGAAAAGTTCAAAAGTGGTGTTAAGAAATTAATAAGCGATTTTGAAGAGGAGAATTTTGAAGAAGATTATATAAGTAATTTAATATATGAGTATCTATTAATAGTATTTTCTAATACAACACATTCTCAGAGATTCAGGGAGCTGCACAATATTTTAGAACATTTTTATAACAGATTAGTTCAAAAATTATTGGAACTTGAACAAACCGCATCAATCATTACTAACAAAAAATTTAACCAAGTTGTAAGAAAACTAATACCGTTTGTTAAACTATCAATGGTCAGTGATCAACTTACATCTGTTAATATTGAACAAGCTCTGCAGGAGTTATACGAGATTATACTATATCCAAACATATCTAGAGAAGATTGTTATGAAATTATAAGGAATAAAATTGGAACAACCAATGTCGATTTTGTGGATTTTCAAGTTAAACCCGTGAATGAAAAATTCGGCGTTATGGCAGATTATTATAGACTTAAAATAGACGTTAAAGAAAATGGAGAACAGAATACACACCATTTATTTGCAAAAGTTCTCCCTTCAGTCATGGACCAATCAAGAACAATGTTTACAAGAACTGTTTTTAAAAAAGAGCAAATATTTTACTCCGAATTCATTCCTTTATTACGGAAGTTGGGATTAGATGAAGTGCTTGATTTTTTACCAAACTGTTATTATTCAAATGATAAATTTATGATATATGATGATGTTTCTGTTAAAGGCTACAGTAATTTGGCTACTCATTCAACATTAAGTTACGAACAGTTATCATCCATGTTTAAACAATTGTCTAAATTAAACTCAACTGGTATTTTATTCGAAGAAAAACTATCGAAAATTATGGGAAAACCTGTTTATTTGAACGAATATTACAAAGATATGGTGGTAGAAATTTTTGTACCCAATGAAACAGGATTTGTTGATTTTTTCGACTGCGGTTTACGGGCCTCTTGCCACATTTTAAATAAGATTCCCGAATTTTGTGAAAATACAAATCTTGATAACTTTAAACAACAAATTTCTGCTACCATGAAAGACTTCTATGAAAAAGTTAAGCCGTCAAAATTGAGCCGTAATTTTTTGTGTCACGGTGATTTTTGGATAAATAATTTATTATTCACGAAACATTGTACAGACTGTTTCTTATTGGACTATCAAAATTTGAGGTATTCGTCTCCTGCTTTTGACGTTCAATTTGTTTTATACCTCCACACAGATAAAAAAATACGTGATAATTCCGGTAATAAGCTTTTAAATGAATATTACAAAAATATGAAACAAAATTTACATAAATATGGAATTGATATCAACGAAATTTATTCATATGAAACTTATCAAAAATCTTTAGTAGCATTTAAACCAGTCGCAATGATAATAGCACTATCTTGCATGCAGTTGGATTTATTGCCAAAAGAAGCTAAACATTTATTTGACGATCCAGTATGGGTTCAAAGGATCCTGACAGAAGATCGAACAGATATAATCGATAAATATTGGGATTCAATGGAAGTAACCAAGTTTAAAGATATTTTTGAAGAATTATATAGTTCGTTAAATGAAAATTGTATTTCGAAATCTCTAGAATAAATAATTATAGGATATATATTTAATGTATAAATAAATTTTATTAATAAATATATTGTTATCAATCTTTATTTTAGTTGAAAAATATTTATAAAATACGTCTTTTTTCGTTGACATATATTTCACCTGTTTTAGCCTGAGTTATTTTGATTTAACTACAACCCAAACTTGGTAAATTGAAATCATTGAATTAATAAATTCATATCTAAAACTAACCTTTATATTACATAAAAAGTAAAATTCGGTACAATTATTATAAAATAGATAACTCAATCCACAAAGCATCTTTAAATATTTGCGGAGCTGTTAAATCTTAAAGAAACATACGTCAACTTAGAGAAAAAGTACAGTTGAATGACTTTATGATTTTTTATTTACATTGGAATTGTTACAGTGTTTAGCAGAATTTAAATAAATGAAACTATGTTTCCTCAAATTATTAACTAATTAAATATTCGTTAATATTTTTCGAAAAACATTTATGAAATCGATAGAAGATAATTGTTGTAACTCCTTAGAATGAATTGTAAAGGAGATTGAGAGACCATTAAAAAATATATTTGTACATTGCCGTGCAACACTTAACAATAAAAAGGGATACTACAGTCTCCCACACTAATTTAATTCTAACTTCTAACATAATAAATGAATAACTAAATAATTTGAATACGTTGAGTTGCGCGACGGATTCTCTTTGATCGTCTGAGTTCAGGACGCTGATGGATTTCCGTGCTTCGCTGATCAGACGATTCCGATTCGACATTGTTGTCAGCTCGGTGTCCTTCATATAGGTTGCCGTTATAGCCGGGATCAAGTAGTTGGCAAGTTTGCGCGTACAAAAACTGCTGAACTTGGTCATGGTATTGGGGTGACTCATTTTCATAAACATGGGGTGTTTCACTTGAAAAGGTGACTGTCTTTTTGGGAACCATCGTAGTTCGAATTTGGTCTATATGCCTTTTAAATGAATATCCATCATCTAGCTCTACCTGGTAGTGTAGCATTCCAAACTTTTTTGTTATAGTTCCAAATTTCCACAGAATTTTGTTCCCACTATAAAATCTGACTTGAACTCTTTCTCCCACACTTAAATTACGTACTTCAGGTAACTGGTTTTCTGAGTTGGCCGCAAGGCGTCAAGTTTGATTCTTATAGGTCTTCTTCATTTCTGCTGATGACTTCCCACAAGCTAAAGGAGTGGTGCGATATTTAAAAAGAATTTCTTGAATTTTTCTATTCATGGGCATGTTATCCTGGGCCATGTCTTTAAGTCTACCTTTAAGAGTCTGGACATTACGCTCGGCTAAGCCATTGGTTGCAGGATGACCTGGTGCAATGAATTTTTGAAAAATGCCATGCATTTTGGAAAATGTCTTGAACTGCTCATTTACAAAAATTTTAGCGTTGTCCGAAACCATAACTCTGAGATATCCGTGGAATGTGAAGATGTCTTTGAGTAGGTCGATAGTTTTTCCTGTTGTTGGAGCATCACGAAGGATTTTAATTTCGGCCCATCGAGATTTGGCATCGACAACAATTAGAAAATGGAAACCTTGAAATGGCCCTGCGTAATCGATATGAATTCGATCCCAATTTTCTTCTGGAAGATCCCAATGATGAATAGTAGCTTTTGAAAGAGATTTTTGAACTTCAGCACATGCTTGGCCATATTTTCAATGTCCCTATCGATGTTTTTCCAGTAACAATATCTTCTTGCAAGCTGTTTCATTTTTGTAATGCCTATGTGAGTACTGTGAAGTTCTGAAAGAACTAATGGTTGAAGCGATGTTGGAATTACAACTCTTTGACCTTTAAACAGTAAGTCGTTATCCAAGTTTTCCACTTGATTTTGTGATTTCAAATCAGATTTGATTTTGGATAAGACTAAATCTTTATCTGTAGCTACTCTAAGGTCATCATACGTTAAGTCATAGCTGTAGATTTCTTTGATTGATATATTAAAAAGTTGATGGAATTCTTCATTTAAAAACTGATCGGTATAATATGCTTGCTGAGCAATAGCAGCTCTGAAAAGGCAATCAACATTTATGTGATTAGAAGCTTTTCTGTATTCAACTTCGTAATCAAAACCAGATAGAAACGAAGCATATCTAAATTTAGCTAAAGTCATAGCAGGTAATTTTGAATGTTGATGAAAAATTCTGGTAAGGGGACTATTATCAGTAATAATTTTGAATTTTCGGCCAAATAAATACATGAAAACGTGATTTACTGAAAATACAATTGCGAGTGCTTCTCAATCTAACTGACTATAGTTTATTTCGCTTGAAGTTAAAGATCTTGAGGCAAATGCAATTGGTTTTTCTAACCCATTAACAATATGAGAAAGAATTCCGCCAACTCCTGTCGGACTAGCGTCACATGCCAGAATCAAGGGTAGATTTGGATCATAAGGAGTCAAAACTCGATCACTAGCATCTCTTCTTTTAATTTGATGAAAGCTGATTCACAAGAAGCAGACCAGATGAATTTTCTATTTTTTTGTAAGAGTTTACGTAGTAGATAAGTTTTACTTGAAGCATTGGGAATAAAACGATTGCAGTACGTTATCAACCCAAGAAATCTTCGAACTACATCTACATCAGTTGGTCTTGGCATACCTAAAATGATTGCGTTTGATAACGTATCCTATGTAATCGATGCTGGTTTCAAAAAATGCACATTTCTTCCGGTTTAGATGAAGGTCAAAATCTTTTAATCGCTGAAAACAGGCGTAAAGGTTTCTCTGACTCTCTTCTTTTGTTGATCCATGGATTATGATGTCATCAAAGTACGAGTGGGTTTTTGATAATCCGGAAAGAATTTGATCAACAATACGATTAAATTCGGAAGGAGCGGTTTTGATTCCAAATGAAAGTCGATGCATTCGGTAAGTACCACGATGTGTTGAAATTGTTTGAATGTCACTGGTTTTCTCGTCTACCAGTAAGTGCAGGTAGGCTTTATACAGATCAAGTCGACAAAAATATTTGGAACCCTTTAAGGTGTTGTGAATGTCTTCAATCTTCCGAATTGGATAATTTGCTCCTACTAGCCTATCGTTGACGCCGAATTTGTAATCTACGCAAAGTCTAACTCCGCCATCAGCCTTTGGAATGACAACTAGAGATGATCCCCAGTCGCTATGATCTACTTTTAAAATAATTCCGGCGTCTTCGAGACTATCTAATTATTTTTCAACCTTTTCTCTAAGAGCATAGGGTACACTTCTTTCTTTAAAAAATACTGGTTTGGCGTTTTCACGTAGATGTAAGTATGCTTTGAAATTAGGTACCAAGCCAATTCTTTCTTCAAAGATTTCTGGAAATGTATTGATCAACTCTTCTGGTGTATCAAGTTCAGTACTTTGTGTATCAAGTTGGTTGTTATTGGAAGGAAGGTTGCTATCGATATCTTGAAGATTGATGTCTAGATGTCTAATCCACTCACGACCTAATAGTGCTTTAAAACTGTCTTGGACGACATAAAATTCTTCTTTGGAAATCTTATCATGGTACCGTACAGATACTTTCGCTTTTCCAATTGGATAAAAAATATTTTTGGTATCAGATCTAAATAAAATATTTGATTTTTGAAGTGGAATTTTTAAGTCTAATAGTTTAAATAAGGACTCTGGTATCAAGGTGAAACCTGCTTCCGAGTCTACTTCATATTGTATAGGTTTGTTTCCTATGAATACGGTTGCGTAAAACTTTTGAGCATCATTGTATTGGTTTTCAAAAATGTCAGTAACAATTTTGTTGATTCCAAAAACATCTTCTTCTTCTGACTCAGTTTCTTGATCGATATGGTTGGTAGAAGTACCTGGTCTGTTTTTGTTAGATAACAAAGTTAAAATGCAAACTTTTTCAACGTGTCCTGTTTTCAGTAAAGTTTTATAGGGTCAGTTCTGCAATTTTTAGCAAGGTGATTGTCCTTGCCACAGCGTATACAATGTTTATCGATACCTAATTCTTGATAGTTGATTTTTGATCTTGATTTGGAACGTTTCCTTCCATGAGACTTTGACCTAGCTATTGATCTGTTTGTTGATGAATGGTTGATTTTGTTGATGTTTGATGAGGTACAGCTGGACGAAATTTCTTTGCTGTCTAACTTAGAAGATTCTAGAACTAAAGCTTTTTCTACTAATTTATCGAAAGATTTTTCGGTCGATTGAAGTAGTTGTTCACGCATTGATGTTTCATTAATGCCTCTAATAAATTGAGCTCGTAGAAAAATGTCTGCGATATTTGATTTACACTCGCATGATGAAATAAATTCGTAATCGAGGGTTATACGTTTTAGTATAGAAATGTAGTTTGCAATTGATTGGTTTTCTTGTTGAAAGGTGGATAAAAATGTATGCTGAGACACTGAAACATTTCTTTTTGGACATAAATGGGTTTCAAGCTTCATAATAAGTGTTTCGTAATTAAATTCACTTGGCTTTTGAGAGCTTACCAGTGCCGATAATGTGGAAAATGTGAGTGATCCAATAGAATTTAATAGTAATTCGGCTGCAAACTTTTTGTTCTTGAATACATTTTTCATTATTAAATAGTTTTCAAAACGTTCTCTGTATATACGAAAGTGCTCTTTTTGGGGGTTGAAATTTTCAAACGGACAGATAAATGCAGTAGATAGTGGACTTACTGATAAAGGTTGTCGAAGCTGTTCGATAAGAGCCTCTTGATTTGCCTGCATTGCGGCCAAAAATTGTTTAAACTGCTCTGAATTCATGGTTAGAATATGTTTCAGGAGTCTGGTGAGTTACTTTAATTTGCTATCTTTTTTTTCTTTGATGGAAGGTTAATTTGATTTAAGCAGTGATTTACCTACGTCGCCAATCTGTTGTAACTCCTTAGAATGAATTGTAAAGGAGATTGAGAGACCATTAGAAAATTAAAAATATATTTGATGGCTTTTTTATCATTGACATTCGACTACTAATATTTTATAACTATATTTGTACATTGCCGTGCAACACTTAACAATAACAA